GCTACAGAACTATGAGTATTAAGTGCATTCTCTTTAACATTTGTTAGGGTATATGCCAACCAACGCCCCAGATTTTTGAATTAATGTTGAACTTCCTGAAACTCTGCAATGCTTACCACAAAAACTAAGCCCCACCATTAAAGCCCACCTACTTATCTTCAGACTCACATAAACAAGTATATATTCAAACATGTTCATATATTGGTACTATATAAGTATATACACTGTAACACATACGTATTTGTTATTTGACATTTTAGACTCATTATCTTGTATGTACTGATAGCTGAAGGCTATGAATTTATTTTTTAGCTTGCATTTAATTTGCAATTATGTATTAGCTGGAGTAAGTAAATGTAATATCGTATGAAATGTTAGGTATGGGCATGTGATAATCATTTCGAGATCCCCATTTTTATTTTTACGAAATTAAAGCTATCGTCTTTCTACGATAAAAATTAATTGTAAAATATTTGCAGAACTTTAAGTGAAAAATTGCCCGCTTTTACTGTCCAACTGCACTCACAGACAGGGGTACAAGCTTCTTATCAAAATTATATATAGTAAGTAATTTTTTTTTCATTAAATTTTATTCAACATCACAAGCTTTATTTATAATGCTTAGAAACTTAATAGAGTCTTCTGCTTTTTAAATCATACTTGCTTCTCAAAATGCGAAAAAAAGGTTCAATCAAAATATTCTAATGTCGATGGCAGTATAATATGGGCTTCAATATTGTCAGCTTTTGGCGTTAGCAGTAATAATTAGAAATAATTGTTTTTGTCTTAGGAAATATGTGTTAGAAAGTTGCATATTTAAGAACTAAAGAGATCTTTCAATCATTAAACATTCTGTAATATTTTGTGAGCATAGGTAAAATTTAAAGTCATTACCTAGCTTTCAGTGAATCCATAATGAATAATTTCTTTCTACTATCAAAGTAAGCAAGTAAGAAAGTAATTTATAAGAAAGTAATTTATAATCTATAAAAATTGCACTAAACATAACTACCAAAATTTTTTTTTTTTTAATACAACGCTAAAAACTGATTTGATTAGCTCAATTGTTTTGTTGGGTGAAAAAAGGCAGTAGAATTTTTAAATATAAATTATGGCATCTAATTACATTATTGTTTAATGAGAATAAGTGGAAAGGGAGATACTAGAAGGAAAACATAAATTGCAAGTATAGAGGGAGTTTTAGAATTAATTTCTAACTTTTTTTTTGCGTGTACGATATATGTTTGTTTATAAATAATCTATAATATATGTATGTGTACATCTGTATATCCCAAAGCTGCGCTCATGTGGCAGGATTTTGGTATGAGTCCTCAATCTCTCTCTCTCTCTCTCTGTATATGCCTGCAATCGTCCAAAGCTGCCTTTGATAAAATTATACCTGCCTTTTGTTTGCATGTGTGTGTGCGTGTGTGTGTGTGTGCGTGGTCAGTGCATTGCACCTGTTTTTGACTCCAGCCATTTGGCGTGCGTACATATTTTAAATTTAATTACTGCCTGCTGCATATAACAAATCCAACCAGCCAGCCAGTCAACCAACAAGCCAGCGAACCGTCCAACCAACCATCCATCCATCCATCCATTTGTCGCAAAGGCTCAGCATCAGCGTTCGCCGTAAAATCTCTTTTAAAATAGTTGAAGTTGCAGCGCATTCATAACTGGACCTGGGGCATATGTGATCCTCTCCGTACGCCCGCCCGCCCGTCCGTGTGTCCATCTCTTCGACTGCCTTTCCTACATAACTGACCTGGACCACAGGGCCCGACTATCCAGGCACTTGCCACTGACTGCGCTTGGGCTCGGCTTTGCCACTGGCGTATTTTTGTACGTTTAACTCAATTTGTGGTTTGCATTTAATTAATTTAATAATATGAAATACAATTTTTTAATTAACCACAGAAATGGCGCACAGGTAAAAAAATGCAACTTGAACACGTCGCGGTGTGTGGCAGGGTCAGGTAAATGTACATACCCGCATGTACGAGTATGTATGCGAGGTCGTGTGCTTCCCATTGGAGTCTTACCGCAAATGCAACACTTGTGGTTATATAGTACATACATATGTACACGAATTTCCTTCATTTACAAGCAATCTCCTAAACTATTTCTATTTAAATCTTTATAAATAAATTGGTGACTGCCTTAAAGGAGCCTTCACTGGGTTTGACTGTGTGTGTGTGTGTATGTGTTTCCTTTGGTGTGTGCTTCATGTTACAAGAGCAGTGTAGGTGGCGCCAAGGTTACACCGCATGCTACACTTCCATTAGATGGCGCCACTAACAATATCCACAGTAAAAAGCTTTAGTGTGGATTTTATCTACTAGTATGAGTGGAAAATGCTGTTGTTACAAAAATTTTGATGAAACTTGTGAATATAAATACTCAACGCTTGAATTAAATGTTTAAATATATGCATACGTGTATATATTTTTTTATTGATTTTATATTTTAGGAGCAAATCAGCTATACAAACAATCCTTTTATAAATTAAAGAGGTAAGTCTATAGTATGAAGTGGAAAAAATATCACCTAATTGGTATTGGACAAAAACTAGATATAAAATAAAAAACTAACTACAAATTAATTTAAAAATGCTTAAACTGTTTGCATTCAATCCATTGAAATTCATAAATATAAGAAGAAGTAGGTAATGTTGAAATTATCAAAATAGTTAATAAATTATATTGGATACATAATGATGATATTTGAGTTGCTGAGTTGTTGTGGTTTTCTGTTACAAAATATTCCAAATAATTGATTTAAATAGAACAATTTCAAAATGGTAAATGGCAAACAAGTTAAAAAAGAATGCACTATCAAATAAATAGGTAATTTGATATTATTAGTAACATATTGATTAATTATTTAAATCAATCATTTGTTTCAAGGAAATACAAATAGACAAAATATATGCATTCCATCAAGCCAAAATAAATTTCACTTTAAAAAATTAAAATTAATTATCTGTTTAGCTAATTAAACTATTACTGAGTAATGTAATATAATACTTACTCAAACAAAAATTAATTCTTAAATTAAACATCTGTTGAAAAGAAACGAAATATGTTTAAAAAATATCTTTGAAATATTTATTTCACTTATTAATAATCCTATAAATGAAGTATTTAAATTTGAAGCATGCATTGGGCTATGGTGTTCAAAATGTAATGAAAGAAAGAATATAAGGATGGACAAACAAATTTATTTCAAACTTTAGTATACATAATTATAGAAAAAATCAATAATTATTCATATGGTCGTTAATAGGCTCTTCTTTTAACATTTAACATTATTTATTCGGTGCTACGGCTTCTCACTCTATATCTTTGATACAGATTTGTGTTAGCCTTTGCGTCTGTTATCCTATAGTGGGTTTTTGGCTAGCTTACGCCGTTTTTCTTAGGAAAAGCCCTTTTTCGAAGTGGGATGGATCTTGAGCTGTGCTAAAATAATAATACGTTCAAATAATAGCGTTTTTTTTGTAAACTCTTTATTGGATTGCGAACTTGGTTATTGCTTTTCAATGGTGTCTTGGAAAGTAGCCTGAATTAAATGGAAGATTAGAACATGAACAAAGATAGATTCTTATGAAAGATAATTTTTTTCCATAACAGTCCATAAAGTTAGCTTTACCTCTACCTTTGTTTAATATTTTCAGAATGAGACACAACTTCAAACGCATGCAAACTGAACTATTTATTTGCGAAATGTGAAGTGCAGGCGCAGGTGCTAGACAAATAAATTAAGGCTTTCTCAATATTTGTGTAAACATGCAATCCAATTAATAATCAGTCAAATCTCAAAATACAACTTTATTTATTATTTCGCTGAAATGAAACGCTTCCACAATCTCCAATCTTATGCTGTCGAGTCGGAGTGATACGAAAGATAACCACAAGATTGCCGGCACATGCTCTTTATAATCAAATAATGTCGAGGGCCATGTTTTCGTCTTTAGGCGAAGGTTTATGTAAGTAGTTTATATTTGTAGTGTAAAACGATATGGGTGGCATGATATCACAGCATTTGTTTGGGGTTTTTCCTTTACAAAAGCTCAGTCTTTAAGATATACAAGAATTCAGAACTCGAGTGACTGTTTAAAAACTAATGAAGGGAAGAAAATTGCAGGTTGTCTTATAAATAAATACCTGTTAAAATGAAAGCCAAATAAACCTCCACAGACTATGAAAACCAATTTCTCAGCAATTATTGATGGTTTTTAATTATGAAATACAAATATTCATCTTTTCACCTTATTTTTCTGCTCGTCTTGGTTTGTAATAAATAAAGATGCGGTTGCAAACCGACCATTTATACATAAATATTTGAGAACCCAAAACTCGAATTAAAGCTATCTACTTCCACAATGTGGACAGTCTTTTTTTTTCAGTTTTAAGCTTCGAACAATTTCCACCTATCGCTAAATATTCTTCATTTAAAAAGTAGTAATAATTAATTAAATTTATTCAATAAATCTTCACCAGTACTTTAAGGTGTTATTCCGGGAAAAATATTTGCTTTTGTCGCACCATTTAGAGAGGGCGATGCACACGGAAGCCACTCATCTGTATGATCACTCGCTATACGTCTGGCTAAAGTTGGTAAACATAGTTGTAATAATATTGTGTTGTTGTTTTGTTGTCAGCACTTTTGTTTGGCTTTTCATTGTTACCACATTTGTTACATGCGAGTATATATTAGTCATAGCAGTTATGGTCAGCGTCACAGTCGCCGCTCTGCTGATAAGCCCAGTAAAAGTTTCGCTGTGTCAAGTGTAACTATAATCGTCGCCTATCCGACACCCCGTCTAGTAAGCGTACGAATATGTTCTATAGATCGCGTCCATTTCACTTTCCAATTGTTGTTCGGCCTGCACGCTATCTACAGGTAACAACAATGCAGCCGTCCGCTCAGAGCTTTGCCAGAAAAGCTTCCACAGATGTATCTATAAATGATGAGCTGCAGCCGAGTTTGTATTTCAGTGTCCGGCGAATCGTGTGCCAGTTAGAACAAGGAATTAAGAACCAAGAAGACCGCCAGCCCGGTCTACATTTCTTCGAGAAGAGTTTGCAATTACAGTTAAACAGACATGCGCTTGTATTTGAGGTAAGGCTTGAGAGCTATTTGCATTTAAATTGTTCATCACATAAGCATTGAATTTTCTTACAGAGCTTCGCTTTGCTCGGTGGCTTGGCTGCTGGTGTTTGTGGCGCCCACAGCTCTGGCCCAAGTGCCTTTTCCCGGCCAATGCCCAGAGGTGAAGGTCATGGACACATTCGATCTCGAGGCAGTGAGTATGCAACATGCACTTGACTCGCTTTAAATGAATTTATTGCACAATCATTGCGTCAAGTGAGCAGCAATTGATGAAATATTGAATTGTGCAATTAACACGAACTACTTTGTTGTGAGGCGGTCGTTTGAAATCTCCACTATGTATGCATTTACAGTACTTGGGCATCTGGTATGAGAACGCAAAGTATCCGTTTGCCTTCGATATTGGCAAAAAGTGTATTTATGCCAACTACACTCTGATTGACGGCAGCACTGTGGGCGTGGTCAATGCGGCCATCAATAGATTGTGAGTATATCTAACCCAGATAAATTATCATAGAGCCCAAAGAATTTCAAGAACCATAACAATAGTTTTAAATAGAGGGGAATGGAATCGAATAGTCATTAGGTAGATAACGAAATATTAAAACGGAACAATTTATTGTTGCCAGAATTTCAAATCTGAATGATGAAAATATATAAGAAAATATACAAAATATATTTTTGAATAACTTATCATATATAAAGATATATACTTTTGGGTTAATTTTAGATAAAAATATCACATAATTATCGGTATATTTTCAGTTTTCTTTATTAACAAATTTTATAGGAAACGTAGTTTAAAGTAAAATAACTTTGAAACTGGATTGAAATATTTAAATAACACAATTATGAAACAACTTTAAAGCTTAACTTTACTTAAAAGAGTTGTTAAGAAACGAAATATATTTTAAGCATAAGTTTTGAACTCCTCAGCGCACTTATGAGTCTTTTCTTCCAGCACTGGTCAACCAAGTAGTGTTACAGGCACCGCCAAAGTTATAGCGCCGGCCCAGCTGGCCGTGACCTTCTCCAAGAATCGTAAGTTATTTCCGCTGCTCCTTTGGGGGAAACACATTGCTTATAACTTTGCTTGCAGAGGTTGCCAATCGGCCCAACTATTTGGTGCTTGGCACCGACTACGAATCATATGCCGTTGTCTATAGCTGCACCAATCTGCCGCCGCTTGCACATTTAAGTGAGTATACAACTACAAGTATATATATAGAACAAAGAAAATCAATTGCGTATGCACCCTGAGGCCTGGGACTGGCCTGGGCACGACTTGGCTAATTTCCTATGCAAACAACGACAAATCAATTATTCAGTTTGGCATAATTAATGCGAGTCCATAATTAATTGCATTAGTGCCAAGTTCCAGATGCCGCCCCGACGCACAATTTTGTTATATTGCCCGACATGCCAATTATGAGGTAATAACGATGTTTGTGCATCTGATTTGTATTGCAGAGATTGTCTGGATTCTGACACGAGAGCGAAAGCCGTCGCCAGATACGGTGGCAACGGCCAAAGAGGTGCTGGACAATAACCAGATATCGCGAAAGTTCCTCATCGATACGCTCCAGAAGGGCTGTCCCATTTTGGACGACAATGAAACCGAGACGACAACGACATTGGGCGACGATGATGATGACTTCACCACCACGACTCTGCCAAATGCCATCGAGAAGGCCTGAGAATGGCTTCGGCGCTTCTATGAGCGCCTTTTCGACCTTTTCATGAATTTTCTGAATGACTAAGCGCTAAGTTTAGGTTTAAAACCCGTGTATATATAGTGTTATGCGAAGCAAATATAAAAACACATAATGTGCTGCGAATGCCATTAAATTAGAAGCGGCAGCTTTATTTACAAAATCAGTCACTAAATGGCGAAACAAACAAAAAAAGGTTTGAGAAAAACTGGCAGCACAAATAAGTAATACTGGCACACTGTTGAAGAGTTAAAGCCACGACATGATTTCAGATCGAAATGGGAGAATTTGCAATTAATAAGGCAATAGCCAAAAACTTATATCCGAACTATATGATTAGAGATAGTCACAATTATGCCGATGTCAGATCTAAAACAACTTTATTTTCTACGGCAATTATTGTTTTTAATCATCCGTCAAACACAAAAAATTTAATTATGCTTAGCTGTGAAAATTTGGCGCATGAACTAATAACTTTAAAATGCAAGGTTAGTTGGTTGCATGAACCCGACTTTTGTACACCCTGCACTCGCCTCTCCGACTCCATCAACTAATGTGAACTTTCACAAACTATAGTCCGACATTTGCTTCATAAGCAAAAAAGTTAATCTAGTAAGAGTGGATTTGGACCGATCTGTCGTTAGGGGACTTGAAGTGCAAGCAAAAAAGCTATTAATCGTGTGGAATAAAGCTCGAAGTATGGATAAGACAAATCTACATACCAAGTCGGCATCACTAGCTTTTGTGAATAAAAAGCTTTTGAACAGACAGATAGACATGTATGTATATAGAAGTATATATATCCTACTATATGTGAAGGGTGTAAAATATTTTAAAGAGTGGAAATTGAATTAAAGTAAATTTTTAAAACAAAAATAATTAATTTAATGAATGAATGAAAGTATCAATATTTAATAATTATCTATAAGTACACACATAATTTATTTTTGTTTTCTTCAAATTAAGAATATCATTTTGCTTAGCTCTCAAACCAACACTTATTTATATTATATTCTACAAAACGCAGAACACAAACTTGAAAAAAAATCTAACAAATTACGTGCATGTTTAATAGGTTTCAGCGAAAAAGTCAAAATTCTTTTTAAGTTGCGGGGCTTTGAGCTCGATGGTATTTTAATTCTTAAGCCCCACGATTTCGCGCTCTCTTCTACGTACTACACTCTCTTCTTAAATAACGTTTTCTACTAAAGCTGTGAATAACTAATTGCAGAACTAAGAACTTATATGTATTATCTCTTCTTGAGTATAGCTTCTAAATCAATACGCACGAAGTAAAGTACTTTACAGACCATAATGAGTTAACACAGTGTGCAAAATTGATCTACTTGTATACGCTATGGAATGGGTGTCCAACCTGATAGGACTGAACTAACACGATTTTTGAACAGTTGGCACTCATTTAAAGATCCACTGTTGGCATATTTACACCTCAACATGCTCCAGTTCGGCGTGTATGTATAAGAATTAAAATCAAGCAACTAATCGACCAAAATCTCTTCGTGAAATAGACTGGGCAGCATCGTATTTCTTAATTTGTTTTGGCAAGTTAGCATGTTGCTTCCATTACCGGAACCCTGCCCCAAAAATATGACTGCTGTTGGTGACTTCAACATGGATCGGTTCTTGGGAAGATGGTATGCCTACTCCATGTATCCAAAGCTGTCAGGAAAAATGCCGAGTTGTATGTCAATATGGTACAACAAGTTAGAAGACAACACCCATGAGGTGAATATCATTGAGCTGCACGACAAGTAAGTGAAGAATTTAGTCCACAGCAATTCTACGAAAAACTCACTTTTTGCAGAGTTGAATTCGTGAAATCTTCTAGACGCAAAATTATAAATATCCAAACGAGTGGCTCATACGACGTTCTAGGCAGTGTTCGTAAGTAGCTCCAATACTCTGCAAGATACATTTTTATAGATGAATCGCACGATATTCAGATAATCCGGACGGTGTTCAAATGAATATTCTCTACACGGATTACGATAGCTTTGCTATTCGATTCATGTGCATCGACGATGTAAATTCAATTTTCAGTTTGCGTAAGCATTTTCTTTAATCTGTTCGATGGCAAACGCTAAATCTCCAACTCTACAGAATATGTCATGATACAGTTTCGGAAGCGCAATCCAACTGCTGAAGAAGCGTACGCAGCTGAGCATCTGGCGAAGAAAGCGGGCATAAGGTTAAAAAGTATGAAAAGAGTGAATCAGCAGGGATGTCCCAACGATACGTAGACTTTGGGTCGCAACCATGACATTTCAGCTAAAGCTTTATGCTACTTAAGTCAAATTAATTAAAGCAATTTGTCTTGGTCGTACTGCTGTATATATCGTATTAAATACTTGTATTTTTCCAATAAACCCCTCACTATTTAGAATGTTGCCATCCTCAGCGTATGTTAGCAATAAAAAAAAATCATGGAGTTTTTAAAGAATTTAAACTGTTCTAGTACTTTTGCCACGTTTGCGCTTCATCTTTGCATCTCCTTCATGTTGTCCGGCGGGACTATAGAAAAAGATGGTAATTGTCCCACCATCTTGAAGTTCGTAGAAGAGTTCGACATTTCACGATACAAAGGCAAATGGTACACTCAATATCGCACCGCAAACAAACCAATTCTGAATTGTGCCCAAATGGATGTGATCAAGACTAGCAAAGGATATTACATAAGAAACCTATCCGAACACCCAAAGTGAGTATTCTTCCCCCATAATTAAATGAATTTGTCTTTCGATATCCATCGATTCAGGAAAAATACTCCAATTATCAATCGGTTTAAGATAGTTGGTCTGAATGACACAGGAGTATTTAACGTTTCAGCTATCGTATTAAGCGAAAGTAAGTTCGGGTTTGTATTCTATATATTCTATATTGTATTCTATGATATTGGTTGCATTAAGGTAACACCAGAGAACTACAAACATGGATTGTGGACACAGATTACAAAAACTATGCTCTGCAGTTCTCTTGCGCGCATCTTCTGAAACAGAAAAGTTTGCGTAAGTAGCGAGCATACTTGTAGTCGTCTTATAGGGTATCTGAAATAAGTAGCTGCTATTAATAGATGACGGACTTATTGTGACACGGCAGCGACATCCACCCGAAGACTTACTGGCAAGAATCACACTTACTGTAAACGAGGTTGGATTGGACTTAGCCGATTTTCAAAGAGTGAACCAAGCTGGTTGTATTCATAAGCGACATGCTCCGCTTACCGCGCCCTTAAAGGATAACCTAGGAAGAATGAAAAATGAGGACATTATCACTACAGAGAAAATCAGCAGACGTCCTACGAGAAAATTAGCGGTAGGCAAATAGACAGCATTATTAATAAATGTCCTTAAATGATTTAACAACTAATGCAAATTTGTTTTAATTATTCCTAATCTTGTGCTAATTTATTTCAGCTTTCATAGCTGTTTTAGTTTATTTTAATTATTAATCATTTCATGCTACTTATAACAATATCTTAACAATTTTGAAATGTGTATTTGTGGATTTAAGTAGATTTAGAAATTTTCATTCATAGATTATACATCGGAAGTTGCTGACATTGCAATGACGGGTTTTTTGTTAGATAGATAGGAAATTCAAAAGGTAATTTAATGCTCTAGAGGGGGTCCTACGGGGGAAATCTCTTTATCTACAAGATTTATGGCTACGTTGCATAGATACTTTTCCTTCTATGATTTTTAAGGGCACTAAGTCCTCATTAGTTATGAACGGAGGAGCACTGTTTTGGAATCTTTGTAGGACTGTCATATGTTTGGACTAGCTCTAGGATACTGTTTCATAATAAGAGCTTGTTATTTAGCTTTCTACCCAACACCCAGTTCAGCAGAGCAACAATGTGAGACTTCTAGAAGACAGAAGACACTTCTGTAAAGGGTGAGGCCCGGATAATTAATTACTTTCCCATCCCAGGATAAGGGCGGATTTTAGGCTGACTGCAGAACAGTTTCCTCTTTGAAGAACAATTGCTGCTTGAGAGGACTTTCCTAAAAGTATTTTTATGGAATTTGTATTCATTTTTTGTTAGCTTTTATCTCGAAAGACATTCGAATCAATTGCAGTTGAAGGTTTATTTTCTGAATTTGTTACTTTTCATGTTTTTAACCGTAGAGTTTTTCTCTAAGGAACAAACTCATCATCAACTAAATAGAACGAATGAATTGAGTGTGACAAATTTGATTATTCATATTATCCAAAAAGTAAGTGCCGAACAACATCGGCATTCCACCAATGGCTTCAACAGCATATAGAACATTATGTCGTCACTTAGCAAATCACTTGCGACTTTTAAAAACAATTGTATTTATCGCATCGGGCGTGTGTTGTGTTAGTGGCTTGCTGCTAAAGCAGGAACCATGTCCCAAACACGTATATGATGTGCATAAGAAAGATTTCAATATAAGCAATTATTTGGGCACGTGGTATACCTATGCCAAATATCCGAACACGAACGGCAGTGTTCCGGAATGTTTGGAATTAAATATTTATAAGAAACGGGACAGCTACTTCATGCGTGCAAGATATCGAGATGAAAGGTAAGTCGTCAGGTCGTATCTCCCGAATAAATATAATAAACACTCAATGGGAAGCTCCAAGAAACCTGCCGGCACTCTACTGGAGCTCGTCGATGTCGATATGACTGGCCACTTCCGCACATATCCCGCTCAGAAAGGTAGGTCCATATGTACGAGTAGGTGGTCTATATTTATGATCCAACTCGCCTCCCAGGTTTCAAAATGGGCTTAAACACCTGGATTATAGAGACAGATTATCGGAGCTATGCCGTTCGTTTTTCATGCTCGGCGGCAGAGCAAGGTGGAAGCTATCGTAAGTATTTTATTTAAACCAAGTTTAACTTTTCAAAAGAGTGAATTTATTTCACAGAGATGGCCGTAATACTAACCCGAAAGCGTTTACCACCACATAGTACAGTTGCAGAGGCTAAGCGCAAAGCTTTTAGGGCAAGAATACCCATGATCCCAATGAAGCTAGTAAATCAGCGCAACTGTTGGAATCTCTAAATTATAGATTATGCAAGCATTTCTACGGGCTAAGAAATATATAGCGATTTAAAGTCGCAATGTTTTTGAGTGTTTTCTTATCATCCATTTCAATAATTATATTTACGAATCGGTAAGACATGCAAATAATCTGTACACAAATCTGTGTTATTCTACAAGTTGTCTTTGAATAGTGATTTCACAAGGATTTTTTTTCGACTTCGTATGCTGGACAGAATCATCATCTTTTTTTTCATCATAAATAAATTATTGTCAAGTTTATTTAACCCATTTAATGATTGTCCACGATGGACAGTTTTAAATAAAAACACTCTGCTAATACAAAAGAAATAAAAAATTACAAAATTCACATTTCTTATAATGTGTCTATACTCAATTACTATATATTGTTTTATCATATACTCAATAATACATATTGTTCACCACTCTCGAAGCCGTCTCCCACACGATCGATCGGGGCAGCTACTCGCTCGATTTCTATACTTTGCTTTTAGCGGCAACTCCTTTTTTATAGGAGCTTTTTCCTTAATATTGCAGTATGGCTGATTTAGATGCCAGCCAAAAAGCTCATTATAAATCTTGTCGGCTAAGCTCTCTAGAGTACGAGATAGAGACTGATCTCAGGAGTAGCCTTGATAAGACTTAGTATTTAGGGCCCTGGTGCACGTGTGCTTGGAATTCCCCTATTGTTATAAAAGCTATTACATTCCCAATCAAATACTAAATACTAATATAGTTGGACCTTCAATGAAGCTCATAATAATAATACTAATAATACAAGTACTAATAATAATAATAATAGTATTCATTATGACGCACTTTTTCGCCTTAAAATGGAACTGGGTTGGATTTTTTGAAGTTTTTTCATTGATCATACGCATAAATTATTTTTTAAATGCCTGGTGCATCACAATTTGAATTTTTTTTTTATTAACATTAGTTTTAAGTTAATTATAAGATCCCTTATAATTGGTAATACAATTTTTGAATTATTTTTCATACCATTGCCTGTAGCTTCCATGTCGCACATAGATAAGTTTGTTTGTTTTGTTTCATGAAGTAAGTAAAACAAATGGTTAACATCAAATCACATAAATCACCCTCACACACACAGACACACACACACACACACACACACACACACACACACACACACACACAGACACACACATTTTGTCGAGGGCGATAGATAACTCCAAAAAGGACAATTGTAAAATTAAACAGCGAGTACGCAACGGAATCGCCACAGAGTTGCGTCCAATGGGGAAATTTTATGGTACAACGAGCTTAGAAATTGTATATTTTATTTTTGTAGCGCTTTGTTTTGTTTTCCCACACTGCCCGCGACAGAGGTCCAAACTCCTCCTGGCCTAGGCAAATGCACATGGTGAGTTGGCATTTGTTGGCGAACAATTCAGAGTAGGAGTCGGAGATGAAGTCGAAGTCGAAGTCGAGGCATGTGCAAAGCAAGGGTCGCCGATTCTCTCACTGGCCAACTACTCGTTATGCATACAAAATATATTTTGTAAATAAAGTAATGCCATTACAAACAAATTGGACTTGGAGCTCCGTTTTTTGGGCACTTTGTTGCGGGCTCTTGTATTCCGAGCCCGACCGCAGGGAAATCCAACCGTCCAACCATCCAAGCCGACACTGGCCCCAAGACAACATGGGTATATGAGTGCCTATGCTTCCATATCGCGCGTGAGGACATGGATTGCTGGCAAGGATGTGACTGGCATTCACTGCTGCATAGTCCGAGAGCTAAACAAATACTGTGGTTGAGCTGTCGATGAGCGAGGACTCGTGTCTGTATTGCTGATGTGTGTGGTTAGGCTTAAGGGTTTCTAAGGTACATGAAAGGAATGGAAATAAATCTAGAAGTACTCGTCTATATGCCCATTGACAACCCAAAGTCAGTGCGATACTGCTGTCGAAGGCTAACAATTGTGAGCAACTAGTTAAAACGGAATTTCTGAGGACGTTTATAGAAATTGCAGGAGGAGGTGCTAAGTGAGTGTTTCATTAAATTTGCAAATAATATTTGAAAACGTTCCACGATAATTTCTTGCATACAAGTATGACTATAAATTTTATGTGTATTAACAATTTTGTCCATTTGGCGAACTATTGCAGATGCGTCTTCTATAAAGGATGCTCGCATTTAGTCTGTTGACAGGAAATTTTCTTCAATCTTTTATTTAATACACACCACGCCTCCTTTTAGAGCTATTTTCCAATCGCTCCTTCAACGTTCTGGGCTTTGGGCATAAAAAATGGCCGCACCTTTGGCCGCATTTCATTTTGACAGGATTTGGAGTCAAGCACCGTGCCAAGGCACTACAAGCGACCCATTACCACTTTTATTACCTTTTATTGGCATTGCCCGCAATGCTCCGATTCTTCTTCTTCATCTGCTTCTACTTCTTCTCTTTTTATATTACACAGCCATTCCAGCTGCTGCTGCTGCTGCTGCTTCTGGTGCTGCAGTCAAAATCATTGACCGTATCGCATTAATGTCCTGGCAGCCAACTTTGAGGAGTCGAACTCGAACCGAAGTCGAACTTTTTGTATGTTTTTCGCCATTGGCTTGCATATTTTATGGCCAAGTCGAACTTTAATTGGAACAATACCAATAAATGCCAAAGGCAAAGAGAGGAAAGTTTGATGTGCATTATTGACCGGAATCATAGCCGCCGCCACTGCGGCCGTCCAATCAACTCAAGGGACAAACAGCCGCGACAACCGCAAGGATAACAACGGCTTTTAGCCACCGCCACAGCCACAGCCGTTGCAAGTTGTGGCTTTGGTCAGCGGTTGGGCAGGAGACAACGAACCCAGTTAACAATTCAATGAACGCAATTACAATTGGGCAGGCACACGGACAATTGGACAATTGGACAAATGGACAGTTGGGCCATGGCCGAGGTGGGAGAGGCACACGTTGCTAGGACAGCGATTAGACGCGGCATTCAAATTAAACGTTTACAACATATTGTTGGCGGGCGGCCAGTCGGCCATTTTGGCCGCCAAATGAGCAACGTTGAAATTTTAATGCAACAGACGCGAAACCCGAAACCCAAAAACGGAAAACAACAGTGGTCCGTGGAAAAAATACGCCCATAAATGCACGTCCAAAATGGTTGGCTGCATAATTTATGCGCACAATTCGTCGTCGTCCTTGGTGCTGCTGCATTCAAATGCTAACGTTGACCGAGCGCTCGGTGTTTTTGCGGTGCCAGCTGACGCAGCAATGTAGATTAATTAAAGGCATTTTATTGACTATGAGTCTGAGGTTGCACTCTGCGGTTGTGGCCACTAGTCCTAGCCCTAAACCTAAACCGAAACCAAAACCGAAACCTAAACGACTCCTGTCCCACACGCTCTAATGTGCAGCTGTGGGAGCTTGTTTAGAGGGTTCATTAGGGTGTACTGACATGGGGTGGGGTGGGGCGAACCGAAAAAGTATGAAATGCTAAAGAGACGGAAACTTTTCAATTTTGCTTGGCAAAAGATTTACGCCCTGGGACTAAACAGTTGCAAAGTGACAAAAGCACAGTGGGCCAAAAGAAAAATAAATACATTATTGGATAATAATAAGTCTAGGAGAAAGTGTTGAATAAGAAGAAGAATGAGAAGTAAAATACCTGCCCTAATATCTTCTAAATCGACCACTGAATGTTAATTTAACTGAAAAAAAGTGTACTACAGATCCAATTCGATATGCTGTTTACAAATAATAATTAATATAATCAACAAATGGGTGAATAAGAAAGCAGCAGGATTAAAAAGTAATTAATCTCTGTATTAGATAGATGGTTTTACCTTTCTTAATCTCTATAATAATTCTTTTGGGAGCCCCGAGCAATTGTTAAATTAAATTGCATGAATCCGAATATCTTCTTCAACTTTCCAATTCGGTTTTCAGAAATATCATCAATATCTTCAGCTGCAATGGAACTAGACTATGTTTGTTAAATCCTAAACCCGTCCTGTAACGCTTTTCGTCTTCCGGGGCCCTCAATGCCCCAAAGCCTTTTCCATGTCGATTATATGGAATAATATGCTGTTCTTAAATAAACATGTTGCGGCTTTTTATTCAAAAATTTAGTCTGAATGTTTTAATATCGCCCTTTAAGCGTCAGACGCTGTGCAAAGTCGTTTCTCTAACATTTCAAAGTCAACCTTTTTTTGACGAATATCTCTTTTGACGACAGCATAGGTAAGTACAAATTATTCGTCTATAAGTATTGTCAGCTCTTGTGATAGACAAATTCGATTGGGACATCATACAAATGTATCAACATGATGAGCAAATCGTATTCACATGACGATTTATTTAATTTATTGCACATAAGACTAGCAGTGTAGTCATGCATTTGATTGATCGAAGTAGCGCCCAATATTTTGTTCCTACGGCTGTTAAATAATGGCAAACAAAAGTCTGGTCTTCCTGTTTGTCTCCAAAATAATGATTTTTGATATACACCTAATTCTGTTTTTACACGGTAAATTGGTTCCCGAAAAAGTCGTGTAAAAAAACACATTGATCATAAGTATGTTATTTTAAATCGTATATAAAATATTTTTAACTTTAAATCTGTGAAAAAACAGAATTAAGTGTAATCATCTATTGTTTAAAAAAAGTAAACCTCATTGAAGTGTTAGTATTGCGGCAATTCGAAAGCTAGTGTGAATTTGAAAAAAATTAAATGTTAAAGCTCGATGGGAAAATCAAATGGCGCGCCCATTGCCCAAAGACAGGCTTAGGGTTATAGAGAATGTCAGATATTCTATCTGGTATTTGATTCCACATCTTCCAAGGTACTAAAACGTTCGAGCACATGTTTTGGTTAAAGATTAAACAAATTTCCACAACAAATTCCGTATTTATTTATGGGATAAGCAATCCCACGGTATGATGCCGGGGCTGGGGCTTCTAAACGCCTGTCAACATGTGCTGCCAAACTTGAGAACACACACGTACTCGTACACCCACACAAGGTCTTGCGGCTTCATCGCTTGCAACTGCTTAATCAATTACGCAACTTTGTTGCAACATGGGCGAAAGCAAGCCAAGCAAGGCGTGCCTTGCATGCATTAGGCCAAGTCTGAAGTCTGAAGTCTGAAGACCAACCCGGACGCAGTTCCGCCCGACAAAAAAGGAAAGGCGCCATCCAAAATGACAGCTGCACACAAACTATTTGCGAACAGCTGCAGCAAAAATTGCAGGCAGTCGCCCAGATGCGGGTACTGTGTTGATGCTAAAGTTTAAGTAGCAAACGGGCTGGCATATGCTCCTGATTCGGCTCCAACTTCTGCTCAGCTTAGTTAGCAAAGTATTTTAAATTGCACATCACAAAGTCGCAGGAGTTTAATTAAAATGCACATGAGACTCTTCCGTCTTCTTCCTGGGGCTCAATGTAGTTGTCGCCACTTCCGATTTGTAAAGTTTGACACGGAAATGTTTGTGAATGACAGGAGCAGAAAGAGTGACTAATTGTTTCATTCAGCTGAATGAATGGTGATGGCATTAATTGGCTTATGACGAAGCCAGCTTATGCTCGCTAAGTTACTAAAAAGTGAGTTGTGGCTGCAGCCCCAAGAAGTTGTCTTTCTATTTGTATTAGTTGGAAACTTTAAAAATTTTATTTACCTCCAAACAACCAACCAGATAAATTTATTTTATAATGGTGATATTGATTTCGCACTAGGATATAAATGATTATACAACTTATTACACTACACGACTTTTTGAGATAATCGAAAACCAACCAAGGTAAGATCGAATTATCTCTAAATATCCATTAAGTAATGAGCAATAGTTTGTGTTGCAACAATGATATGAATTGTTAATAAATTTTCCTCACAACTTTGTCAAAACTGTCACCCAGCTAGCTTATAGTTTTCCAAATTCGAAATATCATGACATAGACCGATAAATCCAAGCAAAAAAAAAAACAAAAAAAAAAAAACGGCCAGACATGCCGATTTCCAGTCGCTTTCCTCCCGTCACTCACTGCATTTTCGACAACGATGGAACTCTTATGGGTAAGACCAATAGGACCTTTGTAGACAAGTTCCCATTAATCTGCCAACAGATACCGAAAAGCTCTACTCCCAAGCCGTCGAAATGACTGTCCTTCCCTATAATAAGAAGTACACCTTTGAACTTAAACTTCGCTGCATGGGCTTGCCAGCCATGGAGGTCAGCAAACTGATAGTGAACGAATTAAAATTACCCATAACGCCGGAACAGTTTCTCCAGGAAAATTCGGCGAATACACGACGCGTTTTAGATCATACACGACTGATGCCTGGGGCTGAGCAGCTGGTGCTGCATTTGCATAACCATCAAATACCTATGGCCATTGCCACAAGCTCGGCGCGCCGCTCGTTCGCAATTAAGGCTCGCCCCCACTTGGAGTTGTTGTCCTGCTTTAGTCACATTGTGTACGGGTGTGATCCGGAGCTGGAACATGGCAAGCCAGCTCCCGATATTTTTCTATTGGCCGCCTCGCGTTTCAATTGCAGTGCACAGCCCGAATGCTGTTTGGTGTTTGAGGACTCGCCGAACGGTGTGCAGGGAGCTCGCGCTGCGGGCATGCAATGCGTCATGACTCCCGATCCTCGCATGCCAAAGGAATACACGAAGTGCGCCACTCAAGTGCTGCCTTCGCTCCTTGATTTTGTCCCAGAGGACTTTGGTTTGCCACCCTACGACACCTGCTCCCTGTTTCAGTTTGGCTAAAAATTGTTTGGACTTGTCGGTCTATGCTAAATTTTCAGTTAAGAAAGGAAAGCAGAAAGTATTCAATCAATGAAATATATCCAATAGTGATGGCATATTTCCTTTTAGTGCGCTTGCTAAGTAGGCTACAAAGCCACAAAGCCCAGGAAAGCAATAATTATACCAACATATTGTAAGCCGTATTGGGTATTGGGCCTCCCAACTCCCATCTTCGATGAAACTAATTCAGAAACTATCTGATGAAAATATGGCATTTAGAGCTTTAATACAGAAAATTTAAATAAGCAACCCTATAATCGAGTTTAAGAAAACTAACTAGGGTAACCAACAGTTAATGATGCGGGTATTTAGAAAACTTGCACAGTCTCCTCAAGTTTATTTAGAGGAACTATTAAGGTTTCCTATCTTCATTGAAACCAGCCCCGAAACTATCTGATAAAAATTTCATCATATCGAGAATAAATGTAAAGAACGGCAAGTTTACTAACTAAGCTAAGGCTAGAAAGGAGCCCAAAAGACTTACTAAGTCTGCTCAAGCTCAATGAAAATAAATTCGATAGTACTTCTATCCGATAAAAATTATGCTCCATATCGAGCTCAAACAAAATAAAGTGATATAAATTAAAAGTAAATCAGAAATTAAATTAGTGCCTTGATATTTCAAAAATGATCTTTCATAAAAAAGGTGAGCAAATCAAAGTAGTAGATAAAAAGATGAAGACTTTAGCTTAACCGTACTATGAAATCCATGGAAATTTATCTCTATATAAAGAGAATTTTAAATACTACGTATTAGTGGTGCTAATGCAATTCCTATCCTTATTCGTCTGAATACTTCGGTATCCATATTATACTTGTATTCTAAATGTCCTGCCATTGATACAACTGAACAGCAGGCTGGCAGGCTTGCTGTCATTTACATTTTAGAATAACTTTGGACTCAGGTTAAAGGAAAATTTATTAAAAATTCGCATAATTAAAATAATTAGTTTCCAACACTGCAATATGTGCAGTAAGAAACCAAAGACATGCAAGCCCCCACCATGCTGTTTGCAGTGCCCGCCACCCTGTTGCTCCAATTGTCCACCGCCGTGCAAATATAAGCCTGTGTCCTATTGCATCTTTGATCTGGAGAGTGCTGTATTTGGTAAGGATCGAAAATATATTATACCCATACTTTAGAAATTCATGTAAGAAAATGTATAAGGAATCATCTTTAAAATAGATTAGATAACAATTATATGCATTCATTTGACAAATGCACCGCCTAAGCATTTGCTGTTTGACGTACATATTTGCTTAAAATATTGTTAACAGACAGTTTTTCCATTATTGTTAACCAAGCGCTTGTTTTTAAAAGAAACCAAGCTCTTTTAGTCTTTCTAAATATTAATCATTTCTAATATAAATTTCTTTTAAAATTCAGATGAGCGCAATGTCTATCAGCGTGCCTGTCGCGAAGTAGCCCAGGAGTACGATTGCACTGTGCCCGATGCTGTTCTCATGCAGAGCGGTCCCATGCTGATAGGTGAGATGGCCGAGCTGGTGTGCCGTAAGTGTAATATACCCGTTCCCTGGGAGCAGTTCCTCCTGCGGGTGAACGAGCGTGCCATTGAGCTGATCAGCAATCCACCGTTTATGGCGGGTGTCGAGCGACTGGTGCGCCATTTGGATAAGCACTGCATTGGCCTAGCCCTGGTTACCTCCTGCACTGAGAAGTTGTACAAGGGCAAGATACAAGGACATGAAGAGTTCTTTGAGCTCTTTTGTCATGTCATGCATATCGATGATCCCGAATTGAATCAACCCAAGCCCGCACCGGACATATATCTGCTGGCCATGTCACGTTTCTGTGGCGATCCCAGTGCCGGCTGTGTTCTGGTCTTCGATGGCAAGCCGAAGGGTATTCAGGCGGCTCGGGATGCACGAATGCAGTCGGTCATGCTACCAGTATCGAACCTACCCTGTTGCTGGTCAGAGCTGGCCACCTTGCGTCTGGACACATTGGAGCAATTCGTACCGGAGGAGTTTGGCTTGCCACCCTATGGGACTGAGCAGCGAAGGCGCTCTAGTCACATGCGAGCTTCAAGAATGCTCTCGATAAGTTAGAAAATCGGAGCTATTGCCCTACTCCGTGTGCTATTATTGGATGCATTTAGCAATAGTAATACATTGCGAATGTCGTATGTGGTTTGCTTGAATAATAGATTTATCGCCCAGACAGCTATATCGACGTGTATATGCAAATTGCAAACTTTAGTTTAGCAGATAATTTGCAAAATTGCCGCCTGACCGCAACAATGAATCGATAAATAGAAATAAATTATATAGAAATATAGAACACTTGCAGCTACGATTTGTTTGTTTTACAGGACAGTCGTTTGCCGATAGAATACTTGTAGTCATTGCTACTCATAATTATTTCTTATTTCTTACATGATGTACAATACAATAGCAATTACAAAACAAAGAAAACCTAAAAACAAAACAAATATAGCATAACAAAAATACAAGAATGTCCTACAACGCATTCAACACAAAAACAAGTATCCGAATAAAGTAAATGGAAAGGAATTTGTTACAATGTTTTTAAAGAGACGTTTTTAGGCTGAACAGAGAGCAGAAAGGTAGAAAGAGAGAGAGAGAGAGAGACAGAGAGAGAGAGAGAGAGAGAGAGAGAGAGAGAGAGAGGGAGATCATCAGTATCCGAGCACAAGCCCAATACTAATGGAAAATAATTTGTAATGGATCCACAAGAATCAAAAAGGCTAAGGCGACGGCAGAATAGTATCTGTAACCAACAATTAACTGAAATAGAAAGACAACGCCAAACACAAACCCTATAGACCTCTATCTTGATCTTTATGTTAGAATGCTTAAAAGCAAAAGCCAGCCACAATACGATGGCACCAAAAGGTTGTAAGTCCATCGAGAGCAAAAAGTCGGAATTTCTTTGCATCGAATCAATTCGAACATTTAGAAAGTACACGGAAGCTTTGTTATGTTAAGATTGTTAAATTCGATTGACTTGCATTTGATATATCCAAGTACAATAAAACACAATATTAAATAATTAATAACGTAATAAAAAATATTTATTAAATAAGGGAATTAGACGAATGTTTCATGCTTTCAACACTTTATAAAACAGAACAGATGTACCTTAAAAAAAATGCAATGGTAAGCATTTTTCTCTGAACTAATAAATTATGAGCATATGTTTTCTGATTTTCGTAAATTTTGATCCGGCTATATCCGTACTACAGTGTGTCTATGTGCTATTTAGAGTATGACTTAGATGGACCATGAATTTAGGTTCGAAGCTAACAAAAAAAAAAAACGGAAAACAGGCTCCTAAGTAGTAAAATATATCCATTGATATGTTAAGAGTCTCAATTGGCTTAATACTTAGAATACAAGTTTTCTCAATCTAAGTTATACATATCACATATAATGGTAATGCTATATGAAATATCTGTCAATTAAATTACGCCCTATTAAGCCTTAATGGTAAGCCTGTCGTTGAAAACAATGCAAAATTCGTATATGTATTAACATAATATCTTCAATTATTACACATAGAATGTGGAGCCATATCTGTAAATCGATTCCCATTACACATTTAATGTACATGCTTATTACAATAGCTAGTAGGGTGTAATAATTGTCTTTTGATTGCAAAGACAGCCAATTGTTGAAAAACTGTCATTTGTTGACAATTGAATTATGCAGCACATTACGCATACGCCATGTGTGTCTACGAAATACATATTATGTGTATGAATGAAAATTTACATTTGTGTGCGTACGTGTGGAGAGAAAGCTGACAACTTTTACCAACTCTGCAGCAAGTTATAATTACTTAATGCCTGCTTCAGACTGCCTCTGCTCTACTCGCAAAAGCAACTGCAGTGTCTATCTTTCATAATTCCATGGCAATACTTCCAGTCTGCGTCGCATAAAAATAAAGTGAATAAACCTTTTAACTCTTTAGACTCTTGCCAGTATGCAGTAACTTTACTTTTCATAATCATTTTTTTTTTACCCGCCCTCTTGCTGTCGCCATTCCTGCTGCTCTCGCTTCCGTTCCTGCCTAATGAACGCCACAGGAAGCACTCAAGGGCAGAGCTCTGTTAGCACAATGCAAAAAATACACAGTCGTAAGTATATGGAAGAATAAAATAAAAATGGAAAAGTGAAAAAATAAAACAAATAATAAAAATTGCCGCCGCCTTAGACACAACAAACAAGGCGAACCTAAGAAAGAGAAAAAATACGATTTTAATTTCCTAATTTAATTAAGCAACGATGTAAACGCTACGGGAGTTTCCACCCACAATACCCAAGAGCACGAAAATGTGGCAGCAACAAAATTGCCAACTCGCCAGTATAATCGGGAGTGTTAAAGCTTTGACTGTACGAGTATGTCCATATACATATGTATGTAAGTACGAGAACTCGTTGATTCAAATGTGGCCAGCATCAAAGAAAATGCAGCAGTACCGAGGACAAATTAAAGGCGTGTGTGTGGGTGTGTGTCCCTTCCTTCGACAGGATTAACATGTGTCGACGACGACGCTGAAAAGCTTCCATAGTCGTCATACTCATCGGCAGCGCAGCATTCCACTAAATTAATGTTAAAATGCAAGGGCGACAGCGACAGCTGTGAAGCATTTACACTCGAAGAAATTAGGGAGGCGGGAGATCCAATTCTTTGACAGAACAAATCTGAGATTAAAGCTGAGGAACCAATTTAATTGTTGGTGCTATTGGTATTGAATTTATAAAAAAGATTTGCAACTAAATTCTCTACTCTCACGCAGCATCCGAATGCAACCGAAATTAATCCACATATTAAATATCAAAATATGTATGTCTAATGAACTAAAAATAACTAAGAGACAGCACAAATCCTAATCGAAACTGATATGAACTTACATATGTATACATATGTATGTATATTGAATAATTAATAAGAAGTAACAAAATACAAAGGAAAGCCTCTTCCTTTAACTGCTGCTTCCAATCTACTATAAAACATAGACTTAAGGAATACTTTCTTGAAATTCAACCACGTATATCAACATTTTTTAGCCCATTCAATTGCTCCATCGAAAAATAGCGAAAAATGTATCAATTACGTTTAATAATTTATTTAGAAGTAGCTTGTTAGAAGAAATTCAACTATCACTGTGTTCACATAATGGGACCCAAATAAAACCCTTAATAATAAAACACGTAATTAAGATATAAAAGTTCCGTTAATAGTAGTCCCACCACTCTCTCGAGCTTCCAAATTTAGTATTAACATTTAATTAATAATTTGAATCAATAAGAAGTGAAACTTCTTACTTCACGGTTTTGTCCGCTGGATCGGCAGGATTTTGTGTGACGACAGTGACGTCAGCAAGACACACAAGCAAAACAGGGAATTACAAAAACAAAATACATGTACATATGTATGTACATGACGCCAGTGAGCCGCACAAGCGGATGGTTGCAAAAACAAAATACACGTACATAGTGCGTGCGTCGTTGCTCGATTTTTCCTAGAATTCACTCATAACTCTACCGGTGATTTTCGTTGTTGTTGTGCTCCAAATAATGTCCAAAATGTCGTTCCCACCGCTGCATTAAAATAAACAAGCAATCGTCAGCAGTTGATTTGCCTTCAGCTTATTTATGACTACCTGGTAGGTTGTGATTTGGAAGAGTCGCTGCTTCTCGTAGTTTTCGGTGATTTTTCATGAACTCCGTTTTTCTAGAACACCAATAGCATGGTAACAGGCGCACATAAATTAACAGCAAATAGAACAACTGGCGAAATTAAAATTATGAATGTAAGTAAAAATCAGCTGTGGTATGAAGATGTGTGCATGAACCTAACGGAATAATCTGAAATGTAACCAATCATGGTGTTCTCTAGTACTCGGCGAAACATCGATGTAAAATCGATACATCGACGTTTTGTATTTTTTTCCAAACATCGATGTTTTATTTCCGATTTTTGATGTTTTTTACTATTTTTTACTAGGTTAGTAAAAGTTTTAATTTGCATTTTTGAATAAAAACCCTAATATAATAAAGACATGCTCATTTTTATTAACAAAAATGAGTGGATCTCAAATAATTAGTCATGAATTATATATTTTTTTTTATGTTATGCTTTTATAACAAAATATTCTTTGAATTTATGAAAATATTGTTTTGTGTTGAAACCGTTCGTATTATATAAGGAAACTTAACTTTATGAATAAGATGACATTACAAAATGAAGTACCCTATTTATAAGGATCAACAATCAAATCAATCTGAAATTAGTCACTAACTATACTTTTTTATGTTATATTTTCTCTTGTTTTTAGTTTATTATTTGAAGTTATAAAAATATCGTTTGTCTTAAAACCTTTTGTACCTTTATAAATAAAACAAATCAAAACGAAGTGCCCTATGTTGTATATTAATTTTTGTTTGAAAATTTGTTAGTGGAATTTCGATGCATCGATACATCGATGTTCTTCCCCCAAAAAAATCGAAACATCGATGTTGGTAAACATCTAATCTGAATCGCCTGCGCCGCAGCGCTGCAAAATAATCGATGTTGGCTGAACCTGTCCGATGTTTTGCGATTTTCCCAAAAATAAAATCGATTAATCGTGAAGCTGAACAATATTAATTTTTATTGTCGTTTTCGAGGAGATCCGACAATTTCAGTGACGTTTTAAACTAATAATGTGCTAATTCAGGCATTTGACTTCGATCAATCAATATCCAAAAACATTTTTGTTAAACATCGATTAATTCGATTTCGAACCACGAAGTTTTAGGGATCTAAGTCGAAGGGAATACATCGATGTTGATGTACATCGATGTCTCTTTATCAAAAATCGATGCATGGTCGATGCATCGCAAAAAACATCAATGCATCGATGTTTTAAAAAATTAACTTTCCATAGAAAAAAAGCGATTATTAGGGGGAGAAAATCAACAGCGATGTTTGAAATAAAAAATATTTATATATCAAGAGAGACTGTCATACTAAAATACTGCATTATATACTAAACGATATATAATGTTGTTATTCAAAAAAGTACTCGTAATTATAACTTTTGATGACTTGTATGGCTTACTTAAAAAAACTGATTATATACGTTGCAGCTACACCTCATAAGCATATTAAGTGTAACATAATATGTATACGAAAAAAGAAGATCAGATACAAACTAAAATGTACATTACAAAATACACATTTTAATGAAAACATCAAATAATTTATAATACAAATATACCTTCTTCGGTAAACCACACAAAGAAATGTGACCGC